TGTCCCAGACACAGAGTCAAGCTAGTGGCCATCGAACCAGAGTCAAGCTGGGCCATCCCGACACAGTCAGCTTCATCCCAGACCAAGTCAAGCTAGTGGCCTCCAACCAGTCAGCAGTGGCCATCGACCAGAGTCAAGCTAGTGGCCATCCGACAGAACCCACAACCGCACGTACAGTGGCCATCCGACACAAGTCCAAGCTAATGGCCATCCCAGACACAGAGTCAAGCTAGCCATCCCAGACACAGAGTCAAGCTGTGGCCATCCCAGACACAGAGTCAAGCTAGTGCCATCCCGGACACAGAGTCAAACTGGTGCCATCCAGACACAGAGTCAAGCTAGTGGCCATCCCAGACACAGAGTCAAGCTAGTGGCCATCCCGAACCAGAGTCAAGCTAGTGGCCATCCAGACACAGAGTCAAGCTAGTGGCCATCCCAGACACAGAGTCAAGCTGTGCATCCCAGACCAGCCCATGCCAGACACAGAGCAGCAGGCCATCCCGACAAGATAGTGGCCATCCAGCGAGTCAAGCTAGTCATCGACAAACGCCATCCGACCAGCACTGCCATCCCGACACAGAGTCAGCTAGTGGCCAAGTCCATCCGACACAGAGTCAACTAGTGGCCATCCCAGACACAGAGTCAAGCTAGTGGCCATCCCAGACACAGAGTCAAGCTAGTGACCATCCCAGACACAGAGTCAGCTAGTGCCATCCCGACACACAAGCTGGCCAAGTCAAGCTAGTGGCCATCCCAGACACAGAGTCAAGCTAGTGACCATCGACACAGAGTCAAGCTAGTGGCCATCCCAGACACAGAGTCAAGCTAGTGGCCATCCAGACACAGAGAAGCTAGTGGCCATCGACACAGAGTCGCCATCCCACAACCAGTGCCATCCCAGACCACACGAAACAGACAACGTGGCCATCCAGACACACCCACACAGAGTCAAGCTAGTAGCCATCCCAGACACAGAGTCAAGCTAGTGGCCATCCCAGACACAGAGTCAAGCTAGTGGCCATCCAGACACAGAGTCAAGCTAGTGGCCATCCTGGACTGAGTCAAGCTAGTGGCCATCCCAGACACAAGTCAAGCTAGTGGCCATCCAGACACAAAGTCAAGCAGCCATCCAGACACAGAGTCAAGCTAGTGGCATCCAGACACAGAGTCAAGCTAAGTGGCCATCCCAGGCAGAGTCAGCTAGTGGCCATCCCAGACACAGAGTCAAGCTAGTGGCCATCCAGACACAGAGTCAGCCCACACACAACATCCCCACAGAGTCAAGCTAGTGGCCATCCCACCAGAAGTCAAGCTAGTGGCCATCCGGACACAGAGAGTCAAGTAGTGCAGACACAGGTCTATGCATCCCGACAAAAGCTATGGCCATCGACACAAGTCAAGCTAGTGCCATCCCGGACAGAAGTCAAGCTAGTAGCCATAACCTGGTGGCCATCCCAGACACAGAGTCAAGCTAGTGGCCATCCCAGACACAGAGTCAAGCTAGTGACCATCAGACACAGAGTCAAGCTAGTATTGCATCCCAGACACAGAGTCAAGCTAGTGGCCATCCAGACACAGAGTCAAGCTTGCATCCGACACAGTCAAAGACATCCGGACAGAGAGTCAAGCTAGTGGCCATCCCAGACACAGAGTCAAGCTAGTGGCCATCGAACCGAAAGTCAAGCTAGTGGCCATCCA